AATGACTTGCGGGGGAAGATAAGCAGAAAACCCAAGCAACAACAGCCTCGTCGGGGTACTTCTGGGTCAAGTACCGATCAGGACCTCCAGCTGGCATGACAACGTCCCGGAACCTCAATTGTGACGACCAGACTCAGAATCAACTTTCACCATCAGACCAGACGAATGCCAAACGATATTTTTTCACGTCTCATCCAGCCAACAGACTCAGACTCACACCCAGGCATTGAATGTTGGTGATTTCAGCAAACTACATAATAATTAATGATAATAAAAAACTAACTATGACTATGATGTAGCATTAAACTTTCAACGAGCGACCAAGCCGTGACCCGCATGACATGCGGCTGCTCTCCCAGCTCCTCCTGGCTGGCACGTTCCTCCGCCGACTCAGCAGCCCGCTTTTTGGCGGAGCCGTCACCTCCACTTTTTCGCCTCTTCTCCGCGGGCATGAGTCCGGCTCACTGCCGCAGACAGAAAAGCTCCTAGACCTGAGCCTGCTGGACTGCCGTGGAACCGGCCGAATCTGTATCACTGCTCGCACAACCAGAAGACAACTCGTAATACAAGGACATGTTGTTGCGGCAGCACATGGGAAACACAAAGACTCGGATCTTTGTTCACACGACGGACGGACCCTCGTGCCGCACAGAGCGGCCATCCGTACCAGGGTACCCTGGCTGCACGTCAGAGTCAGAGGATGGCAAGCAAAACGCGGCCGGAGTCAGACTCTGAAACACATACATTCCGATTGTCAGTCAGTCCTTGACCCGAAGACTATGTGATTTCAGTCAGGATAATCTACGCATCACTGATTGCCTTGGGATTCTCTCAGGTGTGCACGCGAGAAACGCTCGCCCGAAAATCTAGCACGAATCATAAAATACAAATGTAACGAATCAGTGCTCATAATCATCATAAAGAATTAAGTAAAGGAGCAGGAAATAGCAACAAGAAGCTATTAATAACCGTTTCTATGAATAAATAACTGATCTTCCGCACATGACGCAGGCTTCCCCGAAAACCATTCGTCGTATGACATTAGTATTATTTTATAACGTAACAGATTACAAACAATACTAATTATAATAAATACTGCTAACTGCAGACTATGGATAAACACACACTCACAATAAACCATGGCATAAAATATACAATGCCAGTCAGACCTTTTCCACGAAATATTTTGAAAAAAACTGGCACCCAGCCCAAACTAATATCCCAAACACGCCCCCAAACCCAGAACGCTTTCTAACCCACACTTCATACGGCCGCGGCCGGAGTGTCGGATTTCGGCCGTGGCCGGAGTGTCGGATTTTGGCCGCGGCCGGAGTGTCGGATTTCGGCCGTGGCCGGAGTGTCGGAATTTGGCCGCGGCCGGAGTGTCAGATTTCGGCCGTGGCCGGAGTGTCGGATTTTGGCCGCGGCCGGAGTGTCGGATTTCGGCCGTGGGCGGAGTGTCGGATTTTGGCCGCGGCCGGAGTGTCGGATCTCAGGTCGGATCGGAGTGTCGGATTTTGGCCGCGGCCGGAGTGTCGGATTTCGGCCGTGGGCGGAGTGTCGGATTTCGGCCGTGGGCGGAGTGTCGGATCTCATGTGGGATCGGACACTCGCGGGCCTGAGTCAGGCCGGATTATCGGGTCTCATGCGGGCCCGGACCGCGAAAGTAGCCAGTCGGAAACCGACACTCCTGCTACACTGCACAGGGTCGGCCCGCGAGTGTCCGATCCGACCTGAGATCCGTCACTCCGCCCACGGCCGAAATCCGACACTCCGCCCACGGCCGAAATCCGACACTCCGGCCGCGGCCAAAATCCGACACTCCGAGCACCACCAGGATCCGACACTCCCGAGAGTTCATCAGGAACGGGCCTGGGAGTGTCGAATCCAACCTGGGATCCGACACTCGGAGGCACTGTTCCCAAGCAGGCCAGGGGTGTCCGATCCGACCTGGGATCGGACACCGGTGCATACTTTTCTGAGTTTGAAGATATCCTTAAGTTTTTTTGAATGAAGTCGGCTTGATGAAAATAGTGCTCTCAGTGTCCAAAGCCAGCTGGGATTTGACACCGACTGCCCTCCAGGCTGCGGTGCCAGCCAGTGTCTGATCTGAGTGGCCTAATTGACAGCCCGCCGCTGCATGATTTTGTCAAACCCACCCATTGCTCCCTTAATGTCCATGCCGCACCCCAATTTTTTTTGATTTTGGCTCCTGGAAAACGTAACTAGGTTTCGCAGGCAACTTTGTGATCGGAAGGGCTTCAACTTCAAATTCAAGGGACTTCTGAACAGGCAACAGTCCTCATAATACTGAAAACTGCAAAAACATGATTCACGGACATCTGGCGGAAATTGCCGTTTCAGGAAGCATAAGGCCAGCTAAGGTTCGTTTTGTCACCGAAGTTTTTGCGCGGAACGGCTTATTCTAGATTTCGGGACTTTGAGTTCTTAGAGAACAGTCCTTATTTAGGGGCAGTCATCAGAAAATAGAGACAGACAAATCTAAACCTAATACTTGATTTTCAGGTTTTGGGCAGATTTCGCGTGATGACGGAGCCTAAATTACTAATTAAAAGTCCTTCCTAAAAGACAGAGACTTGTGCCAGCCGCGTTTCGTGCTCCAAGGCTAGCCTTTAGCAACACCTTTACCACGGCCTTTGCGCGCGGCAGGCCTTTCAGACCTCTGGGCTTTTCCTGAGCCTTTGCCACGGCGTGCACCCATCCGGACACGATCGACTGCGTCCCTAGCCAGGGACTCGGCTTCGTCCCACGGAACACTTCGTGCCCATGCACTTGCAGCGGCACGGTACACAGTCCTTTCGGCTGTTCGGGCAGTGTAGTGCTTCACCTGCTTTTTCTCATCCGAGTCCGGCTTGCGCAACCTGACGCAGGACAACGCATTTAAACACAACCTGGACATGGCATGCGACCCCAAGCAACAGAAACCGGGTCCGTTACATGCAGTAAAGATTCGAGAGTTTGTTGGCAAACGGTTCCAGGAAAGTAGCTGGCGGCCCGACAGGCTCTGTCAGAGACTGACGGCCGCGACACCTTGGCCCGCGGCTGCCACACGTGAAAAGTTTTCTTTGAATTTGGGAGTGTGACTGATCGCAAGAGCTTGCGTGTCAGAAACAATGCTGGCCAAGCACGCACTCACATCCAGGAGCGGGTCCTCGGGGATACAAGTTCTCAGCTAAAGACATGTTCACGAACCACAACAATCGCATGGTGTTTGTGACTGACTCAGTCCGGCCTCATTCTGTGTACTGTCAATGTAGCTGCGCAGGTAAGCAGCTGCTGTATGCAACCCAAACTTGGGTAACAGTGGCAGGGACTTCTCAATCTTCTCTCTGGAATCCGCGGGGATGGCCTTCAGCGGTGCCAAGCCTGCGCGACAAACAGATGACACCGACTCACATGGAAAACAGAGCAGTCTTTGGAACCGTTCGTCCATTCGCAAACTAACTCGCGCACAGAAGCCTGACGGTGGCATTTTCTTTATGGGTCGGTCGCTCAGATACTGGGCAAGCAGGCAGTACCAACAAAGGCATGTGCGCATCGAATATGATCAAGAAGAAGAAGTCTTCAAAACCGCAACCACTGAACGCTTCTGAATTTTGCAACCTGGACACACATCCCCCATAAAGAAGCACTGTGCAGCCTTCCGGTACAGCTTCAGCCGGACAGCGTTGCAGTGCCACCACGCGTGGATAGTACCGCACACAGAAAGTGTAGTTGGGGGAGTGCATCCATTGCTTTGTCCTGGGCAGGGAGCGAGGGACTGCGACCTTGCTCGGTTTTGGGGATGTTTTTCCAAGCAGCAGTTACTGTTACAACAAAACAATAAATACATGTCACGGCACTGAAGAATGATGTCATCCGGATGCTTCGGCTGGGACCAAAACCGATCCTGGATCTGATCATCGGCCAGTCCTTCTGTCACTGTGAGGACTGAAGGAGAGGAAACATTGGAACACGGAACTACTGCACTGCGGCGTTGCCTGCTGCTACCGATTCGATGTATGAATGGTCAAGACTGTCTGTGTGTGAGGTTTGTCTGACACTGACTGACAGACTGGCAGGTTGGGTCGGACGTCAAAGTCTTGAAGTTAGGAGACTGCTCAGCTCCTGTGTTCACGCGACGCTCGAGGAGAAACTCGTGGGGAGCACCGGGGCCCCCTATTCCTTTCAAGGAAACCGGCACTGCAGCGGCCATGAAAGACTTCCTCAGACGCGAGCTGAAGAGTTTTCAACAAGTCACACCCTTCAATTTATGATGACCAATAACTGGACAGGACAAGCCTGGTCAGCTCTCGTTTAAGATCCAAACAAAGCATCAACTCAACGTATACGACACCACATGCAGCCCAGAAGCCAGTCACGGACTCGGCTGATGCGCACCACTGCCCGCTCTTTCTCGTGCGGGCGCGGGAGCTCCTCAAGGAAGTTTGTGAGGTGCTGCTGGAAGCTGTCCGAGCTTTCTGCTTTGGCGGCTTTCTTGACAAGAAACGCTGCGCAACTTCCAAAAGCTTGGTCAATGTCCTCATGGCTGTGGCCGCTTCGCAAATTGCAAAGCCTCGCGGCCCGTAGGATCCGTCTGCTTACCAAGGATGCCATCCATCTCAGGGTCTGATTATTCTTTAATTCGCGACAACAATTATCGCATTGCACGGTGAGCCGCATGTTCTGGAGCTTGCAGCCGCTTGCTTGCACGCGGGTTAGCACGTGTGACAGCAGTTCGAGCTGAGTACTGCTGTCTTTTGGAACCGTGGGCTCCGTGAGTGCTAGGGCCATGAGATGGCCATGGGCCAGCACGCCTACTATATGCAAACGAGGCCTGGCTGATGTCAGAGTCTCGAAGCACTTGGCCGCCAAGAAAGATGACGCGGGCATGCAAATTTGGATTGATCCATCCCGTCCTGTATCACGACGAGCTCCTCTGTATTCAGCCGCGAGCTCGCCCGGCTTTGCCAATATTGGACCCGGTCCAAATATTGGGACCGCAAATGCGCTTCCAAGAGATGTTGTTGCGCGCATCTTGCGGCGATGTGCCTGCTGTATGACTGAATAAGGCTTTGATGTAGCAAGCATTCAGAGCATACAGCGTGTGAAGTGGAGGCACGAAACTTCATGAAAGGAAAGAGCGATAGCCACACCTGGCATGAGCTTCTAAGCCCTTCAGCAAATTAAATTCAGATTCAGATTCAGATTCAGGTGAATCCCGTGATGTAAGTCCACGTTCAACTTATCTTCACGTCTTGCACAAAATGTTTACTGCGCACCAGACTTCAACCAGGAGTCCACGCGTCAACAAATTTAGAGACAACCTTACTTGGAATGGAAACCGAGGCACCCTCCAGAACGTCACAAAAGACGCCGGCGGCTGCACCCCAGCTTGCAGCTTGTACTGCCCCCAGTAATGGATCATCTTACCAGGAGGCAAAAAGCGCTCTTCGCCTTCCGCACTCCTCTCCGCCAAAGCCGTCACGGTTTTCTTGACCTTACCCTGGCCAAAGCGCTTGTTCCCGGCCTTTTCCAAGCCAGCACCAGCAGCAGACAGCTGAGGCTGTGTTTGCCTGTTCAGCTCTGTAGTGTAAGGGTCCTCGGCAAGGTCGTACTCGGTATGGCCCCTCAACAGCAAAGGCAGATCATCCTCATCTTGTGTCGAGTCCCGGACGTCCGGCATGGTCTCCGCGACGGACTCGTAGAGCTTCTGCAGGAAGCTTGTAACATCAGCTCGAATTTCCCTCGTTTCATTCTTCAATGAAAACGGCTTGCTGATGTATCGCTTGTCGACAGGGGCGTTGTTCTTCCCAGCCATTACTGCATCGTGCAGCCTCTTGAAGCGAGCCGCACCTTGGATTATTAATTCCGGAAACTGTTACAAGGGTTGGGGGTGGAGATGAGAAATGCAGCATGAAGCCTCAAGCATCAAAACCTACAGTGTAGTTTAACACAGACCTCGGACAGTACGAAAAATATAGTTGTCTAAGGCACCCAGTCCGTAGAGCCTCGTCCAAGCTCTTTTGCAAACACGCCTGTCCAGGAAAAAGAACTTCACGGGCCCCAGCTCGCGGCCATCATCACCATCATGATTACCATGCTCAGTCTTCTTGTAGATGCTGCGGAGGGACTCGAAAACCTGAGACAATCAATAATCATTCAGTCAAAGCAAGAAGTACGCGAGAATTACCGCGTCGGATTCAAGTCATTATAAACATTAAATGCGGCCGCAGAACGGCCTCATCTTGGTCCAACTTATGCATGGAAGCCCAGTCGGAACGAAACTTCACCAGGCGCTCAAAGTCCTCGCGCTCCTGAAAAGTGGCGAAACACCTGAGGCCACAATGCTGTCGCTTGCGGCAGGGCTGGCGAAGCATCCGCTCCAATCGTTGGACGGAAGCCATGTTGTCACGCCGTTCCTGCAGCGTTGGCCGCCGCTTGGCTTTCTTCTGGGACCTTGCCTTTGGCGCCGGCTGGACGGTCTCTGCATCGCTTGACGTCAACTCCGTCAGAGCACGGTCTGTGCTGCCAGATGCTGCCTGAGTGCCGGTTTTCTGTCGTTTCAGGGCCGGCTGCAGAACACGATCTCCGCTGCCAGATGCCGGCTCGCTGCCGGCTTGAGATTCAACACTTCTCTGCCTGTTGAGGATAGGCTGCAGAACACGATCTCCGCTGCCAGATGCCGGCTCGCTGCCGACTTCAGATTCAACAGTTCTCTGCCTCTTCAGGATGGGCTGCAGAACACGATCTCCGCTGCCAGATGCCCACTCGCTGCCGGTTTCAGATTCAACAGTTCTCTGCCTCTTGAGGATAGGGTGCAGAAGACGATCTCCGCTGGCAGATGCTGGCTGAGTGCTGGGTCCTCTTCGCTGCCTCTTGGGGACAGGCGGCCGAATCTCATCCTCAGACTCGCTGAGTGTATCCAGACATGCCACACGTGGCATGGTTCAAAGGTGACCCGCCGCAATGTCGGCATGGTTCAAAGGTGACCCGCCGAAAAAACATCATTGCACAGAATCTTCATGTCAAGCTAAGCTGATGATGATGAGGGCGCTGCTGGTGATTTATTTGATAACTATTCAGCAGTCAGTGACGACTAGAGGACCTGTTCTCAAGCCACATGCCTCAGTGGTTGTACTGCATGTCAGAGCATCCAGACAGTTACCCCAAGACATGCGCAGGGGCGCGTTCAAGGCGCGCGCAGGGGCGCGCGCAGGGGCGCGCGCAGGGCGCGCGCAGGGGCGTGCGTACGCTGTGACCAGGCATGAAAACCAGTGCGCGCAGGGGCGCGCGCAGGGGCGCGCGCAGGGCGCGCGCAGGGGCGCGCGCAGGGGCGCGCGCAGGGGCGCGCGCAGGGCGCGCGCAGGGGTGCGCATACACAGTGGCCCACAAACATGACAAGTGCTGCAAAACCAGCATCAAATGCTCACACTGCCTTTTGCCACCTGCCAAAGATTAGGGAAGAAAACGTTGTGGTTCAGTCCAGTGCGGGCCCGATTCTTGAGAGTATCTTCTCGGCACGTGCAATGCAGGCTGATAGGGCGGACTCGTAGATCTCCTGATGCGATGCTTCGGTGTACTCGGTGCCGGACGCCCAGGCGGCCCACGAGGAGGAGCTGCTTTTATTGCGGGTGCAGTTGTTGCTTGGCCTGGCTCTCGGTTTTCATCTCTGCCTTGTCGACGCTCTCCGGTTTCAGCAAACGCAGCTCTGGCTAGGTCGGATTCATCAGTTTGACAAGCAACTTCACGAAACATAGGCCGTTGACTTTGAGCCGACGTCTCAACCGCCTCCTGCTTCTTCTTGTTCTGGTTCGTCTCCTCAGTATCCCGCTTCTTCTTCTGGCTCCACGTGTGCCAATTGGACTTTCCAGATCTACTTTTCTTCTTGGGGGCAGCCTTTGAACGGGGATTGCCTTTCCCATTCTGGGGCGCTGCGGGCCTTTTCATCGGATCAGCACAGGGCCATCACGAACACTATGTTGACGACCTCTTCGCATTAACCGTGAAACTCTTCAACCCAGGGTTCAAGGTTAAGGTTCACTAGACAGAGAAGCTTGCTCAATTTAAAGTTTAAGGTTAGCTAAATGATTCAATGAATGAGTCAATGACCGATACCATGAAACTCTTGAACCTGACACCTCTTCAACCCACGCATGTTTAGTAGGGTTAAGGGTCAAGGGATGTTAAGGGTTAGGGCTCGACCGTTGACAGTCATCTCACGCTGGGGGCTAAAGCCAGTCTGTCAAGTTTTAGAAAAGCTTGCTTTGGATGCAACATGCAGCACGTCGTGTGTGTCTGTCGCATGCCGTCTCGGTAGTTACTACATAATCATTTGCGACTGACAGCAACAACCACTGCCAAGACAGACGGCGAGCGGTTTCTTGCACTCCTCATGCGACCAGCTGAAGCTGCACGGGTCCCGCGTGGCAAAGGAAGTTCCGGGGCAGCAGGCCAACGGCAAGGCAAAAACACTCTGTGCTGAAAGACAACTTTCTTTACGAACTTTATATCACAAGGAGACCATCATCATCATCATGAACGCTCGAAGGCCTGTGCATGCCAACAATTTCAAACTGAACTTGACATGGCTTCTTACCGCTACCAGACATTCATTTGTCCTCCAACTTCAAGTCTGAGTGCGACATGCGGTGCAAAAGCTCCCCAGCTAGCTCTGCAGCCTGAGGAATCGCTATGTTGCCCAGGCTCCTGAGTCTTTCTGCCTGGTGTTCCTCCAAGCCCTCAGACAGCCAGTCACAGAGCGGGACCTGATTGAGCTCATTGAAGACCGTCTTCAAGAAGCTTCCCAAAGGTCGCAGCTCCAAGGCCTGGTTTCAGGGAGTTGTGGGAGACCGACGAAACCACGTGCTTCGGATGTGGACTGCACACTTAACAACAACTAACAGTAACAATTGCGCAGGGAGAAGAAATCATCACGGAAATCAAGCCCTCAACTTGACTGAGTGATGTCATGTCATGTTCACAGAACATCCGCCATGTCCAACGGAAGACCCTATTTCACATGGCAATGGTTGTGTCTGTCTGCCCGTCTGTCTGTCTGGCCCATTCGGAAGTGGCAACCGATGATAACGACGAGCTTTATTCAATGTGAATTGCAGAGTACCTTGCAAGCTCTGGACTCCACGCAGGAAACGTGACTAGAACGTTTCGTTCATGGTGCACGGCGGGTGCTGTTACTACGCACATTGCAGAATCGAGCACAAAGGCCATCAAATGCAGTAACTGTTAAATAAAAAAGGAGAAACGGACTGGTAAAGTCCTTTGTACGAACTAGCTGATGACCATGCAAGCCAAGCAAGGACGTGTCATTGATTTTGCGCTTTTTTTTATATCCCAGTCGGAACCTAATAAATCCCCAACCTGAAAGCCAGTCATGTTGCCATGAATAATGTGTTTTTAATAAAATTATCATGAAAACTGTAAGTGCAACTTATCATGTTCATAACACAAAACAGTAGAAGCGAGCAAGTTGTCATCTCAATCCATGCATGACGTGTGGATTGGCCGCTGGATATTCTGGCCTGCTGCTGTCTTGTAGTTGAATCAGACTCCAGCAATTTCAATCAACACTCCGTCGTCCTTAAACTCATTATTCAGATTGCGGCAAGCCAAACAACACCACTGCCATCGGACATGAAGAGCAGTACGGGCCTTCATTTGCTGTTGTCGTCATTCGTCGTTCTCTCATTGAATGACAACACCTGGGAACCTCAGGCCTCGAGCATTTAGTAGTCGTACTTTAAACGAGGACCCCGTCCGCCGCATCCCTCGGCTAGGAACCTAGACAAATTTATTAATAAGACTGATTCCTGCACGAACTGCGTCTCCGAATCCGACCCTGGTTTGAATGAGCAGATTTCAATCCAGTATCATGATGTTTCACCAAGTTCCAGACTCTGACATTGCAACACGAGTTTGAATATTCCATACAATAAGTCAGATTCGTGTTATTGTTACCATTCTCAGACCATGACATTTGCAACTTCAAGGAATATTCCTGACAATAGTCTTAATTAATAAGTGATTATGTGTTACTATTATTATTTATGGCTGACTTCTGAAAATTGAATGATAACCACGAGCCTCCTGACCTGTATCGCGCACACGCAAAGCAATGGAATAACGAGCTGACACGTCAACGATGACCGCCTGGATCAGACTGCAATCAATCCCAGAGTAGCATGCTTCCCAGGAAAGGCTTGCAAACACTGATGCTATCATTTTCTGAGACTGACTGACAGATTATTCACTCTCAGACTTAGTCTTGACTTGTTCATGGTGATAACAAAACACCATCGAATTATGAAATAAATTGAACAAAACAAACATGTCGGTTCAAAGTTTCACTGCCAAAACCTGCCGTCCTAGACTGTGACATGCTTCATAACTAGCACGATTGAACCACCTTGTGAGAAACTCAACTTAAGCCCCAATTTATGCCCACTGTAAACCCCAAACTCTTCAGCCTAAACCCCGAACCCACCGTAACCCGACTGCCTCGAAGGGCTTCCAGTCGGATTTGCATGCCCAGAAAAAAACACGTCCACGTTTGACCTCGAACAGACGAGCACAGCAAGCAGGAGAACAGCCTTGCAGTGGACAGCTACTCGGAATCTGAGACTCCAGCTGGCAGGCCCAGATTATGCATGTGCACAGTGGCCCAATGCAAGACCATCCCGCGCGCAAGACACTCCTGAAGGAAGTTGAATGTATATATAATATATAATATATATATATATATATAATATATATAATATATATATAATATATATTATATATATATAATATAGCATATGCCTCGGGCAAACTCCATCCAAAATATGCACAGATTCGAATTGCACTCCTAAGTGAGTCAGTGCAAGCACACACACTCGTGCGAAGATGGGCGCACATGAGCAGATCATCACTCACCCACAAATTTGCAGCATAGGACCACCACCAGTCAATATATATATATATATATTAATATATAATATGTAAGATCAGCATCACGGGCCATCATGAAGTCAAAAGCTTTAGAGTAGCCACAAAACGATTGCAGGAGCCGAGCCTGGACCATGAAGTGCATGAGCTTCTGGAGGTCTTCGTGCTCGCTGAGGATGGCCTTCACATTCTCGAGGAATATAAAACACCTTCCGGAGAAAACAGAATTTCAACTTCAAAACAAAAAGTGCAGCATCCGCGGCCTCTCCGGGAGAGAGTCAAAGACGCGGAACACTTCGCGTATCAAAGATGTACGATCATCTTGTAATCCGCGCTGATGGCCGGCTTTGCTGACACCCTGGCAGCTCGTGGGACCAACGACTTCGAAGCAGAGGGCAACATGACATAATGTGCAACATTAAAGGCTTAAGGCTGTCCTGGCATGGGAAGCCACCACCACATCCAACCGCAGAGATGTAGGGTGGACTGGAACCGGTGCGGTAGGCCAGGATGTTCGGGAAAATGCAGCCTTTGTGCAAAAGGCCGTCAGCCATGCGCGCTTCGAGAACGCCTCGGCAATAGGCGTCCTTTTCCACCTTAGAGCCGCTGGGTATAATGGCTTTTGGTTCAGATTCCAGGAGACTGTCGCAGTGTCACTGAGTACACGACATATTCCACAGCATAGACATACCTCATCAACGGCAGCCGCCACGTGGATTCACAATGAGACTGCAAACCTGACCCGTGCAATGTGCATCGCTCGGCATTTTGAAGCCCGACTTGGGCTAGCTAGTCATTCGGAAGCCAGCATCAACTTTCTGCTTTTGCCACCGCCTGATGCCTGGACAGACTGTCAAGTCTTAACAGCGCAAGTGAAGTTTCCAAAAGTCTGACACTGAGTCCATGGCTGTGCTGTGGCAATCTCCATCCGTCAGCCTGAAAGTCGGGTATGCGGGAACCCGTTTTATCGTTCAAGGGGGTAAGACCGACTAATTATATACTAGGCCGGCTTATGCGAAATCAGATGCTTTAAACAATTTGCATGGGGATAAACCAGCATGCGGTCCGGTTAAAGCTTATCACATCCCGTCCGATTTTTTCTGCATGCCACCGGTCGGACGTTCATGGAGACCCGGCTGCACTTGGCATTGGTGCGAGGCTTGAAAGCTACTGACTCTACATGACTCTACAGTAACAGTAACCGATTTCCCTCCACCTCTGCACATGCAAGGAGCCAGCAGCCACAGTGCTGGAACAGAAGGTGCAACACGGCGAACAGACATCGATCCGTGTTTTTCATGTACCAGTCCAGTGCTATGACTGTCCCAGATCCGCCTGCTGCAGCATCAAGTTTAGCTACCCATCCGCCTTAAGATCATCTTGGCTGCTACTGCTACTCATTCCCGCGGTGAGCTCATTGTATCTTGAAACGATCTCTTCTTTTGTCGGAGTCGGTGTATCCGACTCCGAAGAGCTGGAAGTCACATAGCGGGTCACCTTGATTGCTGGACTGGATAGAAAGCCCTGTAGTTCCATTAAACCCATTTAAAGTATAATTCCATAAAATATTATTTTTAAAATTAAATATTATACGTTAAAACCAAACTCATCCGGGGCACAATCTTCGCCTTGGCTTTTGGAAGCCCACTGATCGGCATCTGCGGAGCCGTCCGCTTCAGGTCGGCGCGTGTCTGGCCCGATGGACCTTCCTGGGCAACCACCGCTCTATCGGGAGCCACCTGCACCTGTTGGCTCCTCGTCGATGGCCTGGAGCTTGGAGAGGACCACGAGCCTTTCGTCCCGCCCTCTCCGGCTCCCTTCGGTGGCATAGCGATGAATGGGGCTGGAGAAGCCCACGTGAGCTGCTTTCAACGCTGGCGAGCCACACGGCAGCCGCTCGACATATATATTAGATTAAAGATTAGTTGGGCATATTACATTATATATTGTACTATTACTACTGCTACTACATTTCAAATTGGAAGGAGGGGGGCGAGGACAGGGCAGCAGGAGGCGGGGAGGAGCTCGGAAAGGAAAGACGCTCATTTTGCTCGGAACTGCTCTTAATCAGGCTCGTGAGCTGTGAGTCGTCCAAATTCGACGTCACAAACTCAAAGAAGTTGCATGCAAGGTGGGCGCCGGCCATGCGCCCTGAGCAAATTAAGCTGCAAACTGCAAGCCACGTCGAAGCTCCCATTGCTCTTGCTTCAGCTGCCGCAGGCGCGTCACCATGGACGCTCGGGCATCCATCAGGTCTTGGAACGTCCGGATCTCACCAGGCACCGCGGCAACGTAGTCAGAGCAATGGACCATCTCGCAAAAGCAGTGCAGAATCTCCACGACGTCCTCGAACATCTGGCCTCGGAGTGGAAATTGCGTGTACAGCCAACACTCCAAAAAGCGGTGCGACACGTCCTGGCTGAAGCCGACTCTGCGCCACCAGGCTGGTGCCAAAAGACGCACGACCGCGGCCGGTGTGAATACGCCCCAGCGAGATGACCCTGGGAGCACCGCCTCCACTTCCCCGTGGAACTTCAAATGCATGGCATTGCGGCGGTCCTTGTAGTAGCCATCATCCGTGGTGTGGAAGCGGTCCATCTCGCCCTCGAATTGGGGCCCCCAGGTCGCAGCGAAGTGAACGAGCAGCCACCAGAGCTTGTTGCAGCTCTCCAGACCGCCGCAGTATATGGAGTCCATGGCTGCAACGCCTTCAGCGTGGCAACTAGGCTTGAGCATGCAGCAGCTGCCATGCACACTCATACTAAGACTAGTACTACTAATACTACTACTACTACTACTACTACTACTACTACTACTACTACTACTACTACTACTACTACTACACTAGTACTACTACTACTACTACTACTACTACTACGACTACTACTACTAGTTAGTCTAAAGTTGAAACACCCAAGCACCATGAAGTGAAAATTCCCGGCCTTTCCTCCGCAGGTCGGCGCAAAGTGACTGCTGCTGCAATCCTGCAAAGGATCATCCGATGCCAATGTTGACTGAAAGTTAAACTGCCTGGGAAACATGCCTCGCAGATTCTGTCGCTTCCTCGGGATAACAGCCGTCCTGCAGCAGGAGCCCTCTTAGAAGTTCGATGCTTTCAACATAAACCAACCCAAAACACAAACGTCCTCTGCTTTCAGCCACGTTTTGGACGTCCAGCACCATTGGTACCTCCAACTTGACATTGAATTGAAAAACTACTCAAAGATACAACCTCTTCCAAGGTCTGTCGACTCAGTCAGTTTGAGCGCCACACGACGAGCCATGCCACTTCGTCATGACAAAGGTGCCCACAGGAATCCTGAGAACAACAATTCAGAGAGGATGCCGGCCAAGTGAACATTTAATTTGTCACTGTGATGATCATGAAATCATGATGCAAAAATTGACGCTGCGTGTCTTGCATTGATTGATGCCCACCATGCGCACAGTGCCCAGCTGCTCAGCTGCGACATCGGAATCGGCTGATTTCATGCTGAGCAAACAACTGACAAGAAGACTTTATATTGGCAAGTCCTGTGTCTGTAACTGACCAGAAAACTGACAATGACAAGCCACCAACTAAGTGCTACACCTGGACCTATGACCAACTACGAAGTACTTGAACACTACACTTCATGGCATGATGCTGCTGAAAACGTTGTTGACTGAGTCTGAGCTGTCCGGAAGGTGGCCGCATGACACAAGCCAGCAACATCCTCAATCCGGCATCAAACTGACACTGACTGGGCCATCGGCTTGGAAAGGCCCAGGTCGAGCCCCGCCAGCCCTGTGAAGAGCGATATCACAGGAAGTTTTCCCTCCTGCACGGTGATGATGATGTTGTCGTGCGATTTAGGGTCTGCCGTGGGGGCTGTGGGGTTTAGGGGATGCGGTTAAGGCTCACATAACAAATGGCACCGGTCCGTCTCCAGTAAGTGTGGGAACATGGCGAGGCAGTTCTTGCGCGAGACAACGTTCTGCACCGGCAATGTCCAGTTCAACGGCAGGCCTACAAGGAAACGTGATAGCTGCAGGTGTGAATCCCTTCACTGAATGTGTCCGGCCTGACATCCACTCCCCGGTCGCTGCACTCAGGTACTGGCCCGGAGCTCGTCCGGAGGCCTTGATGGCCTCCTGGTACTGAAGGGAGTACCGGATCTGATTCGCAAGGTCCTCATCAGAGCAGACCCAACACCGTTCACCATGATGATGGCAGCATAAAGGCATGCTGAGAACTCGGCTGTGATGCCACGCTCACTCACCAGGCCGCTGGTGACTCTTGTCGTCGACTGGAAGCATCCTGAGCTCAGTGAATCGAGTGGGACAACACGAATTTCAGGCACTCTGCTTCTGAGGTATGTGCTTATGGTGGACCAATGCTTCAGTACCCTGGTTCCACTGAAGACCTTGGCACCGCTCGCTTTCACCATGTTCTTTGGCTGGTCCACGACCTGGCCACACGCACATGCAAGCATTGCAACATCATCATCGTGCTCACTCAGGCGCACACCACTTGCCAGCCCAAGGGCTTTGCCGTCGCCAAGTCCGCCCGGAAGGGCGTGACTGAAAGGAACCTCTTGTTCAGAAGCGACACACTGGCAAGTCCGGGCAGAGCTTTTACATCATTCTTCTTTCGCTTCTGCTGTGCAAGTGGACGCAGCTTGCACGCCTGAGCACGGATTCAGTGTTTGCTGGAGCGATGGAATATAACATGAAAGCTGAGACTGACTGAGACATGGACCTTCAGAACTGTTTTCTGAACCGTGAGCGCTCGACTAGCGGATGGCTTCTTCATACTCCTGATTCAGGCGCTGCGACAGGACTGGGGATTATTTGAAACTGAGAACGAGGCCTGCTACCTGGGCTCGCGGATGGCAACTTCATACTCCTGATTCAGGCGCTGCGACAGGGCTGGGGTTGTTTGAAACTGAGAACGAGGCCTGCTACCTGGGCTCGCGGATGGCATCTTCATACTCCTGATTCAGGCGCTGTGACAGGGCTGGGGTTGTTTGAAACTGAGAACGAGGCCTGCTACCTGGGCTCGTGGATGGCATCTTCATACTCCTGATTCAGGCGCTGCGACAGGGCTGGGGTTGCTTGGACTTGCTACTGAGAACGAGACTTGGTACCTGGGCTCACGGATGGCTTCTTCGTAGTCCTGAGTAGAGCGCTGCGACAGGGCTGGTGTTGTTTGGATTGCTTTACTGAGAACGAGGCCTGGTACCTGGGCTCACGGAGGGCTTCTTCGTAGTCCTGATTCAAGCGCTGCGACAGGGCTGGGGTTTTGGATAAATAGAACAAGGCCTGGTAGCTGGCTTCGGAATATCATTCTTCAGACCCCTGAGAATGATAGGTCCAAGGCTGAGCATGGCATGATTTTAACCGAGCTCCCTGTGTTGAGCTCCAGGCTGTTCCTCCTCATCCTCGCTCAGCTGATCCAGGACCGCAAACGACGGCATCGTCAGCTTCACTCTGAGACTGGCTGTCGGTCTAGTATTATTATTATTGTAAAACCGCTCAGTCGCAAGACATGTCAGCTTGAGCAGTTGTCAGTGGGAAGGAACATCTTTCCTTTGCCTTTCGGTCCAAGTGGGCCCTTGGAATCCTTATAGGAAGCACATGGCATCGGCGGGAGCACAAAGGAGTGCTTGTGATTGCCTTTGAGCAGTTCGGGAACATTCTGTTTTACATGGTAGCGGAGCGCGGTTGCGCTCAGGGATCTTTGTGAACTGAAGACCCGGACCGGGCCCCATGACGGAGAAGGACACCTTCAAGGACCTCACCTTCAGCGGCGCCCCGTCCGAGTACAGGTTGTTCAGGAGGAAAGTCCTCCTGAGTGTGGCTTCTCTGGAAGAGAAGCATGTGCGTTTGGCCGGCCCCCGTATCCTGAGCAGGTTGACGGGAGAGGCCTGGCGAGCGACCGAGCACCTCGCCATCGGGGAGCTCAGGACTGAGAAGGGCTGGCTCGCGGTCCTGAAGGCCTTGGACGAGCACTACCGGTACCAACGAGTGCGTGGACGAGTTCCTCTTCCACTTGAAGCGCCGAGGACACGAAGGGCCGACAGCATTTGTGTCCCGCTTCAAGGCGGTGCTCAGTCGTCTGGAGACACTGGTTGCTGCAGAGAAGCGGCAACAGCGCGGCTCCACCAAACGCCGCAGGGCCAAGAAGCAGCAGGCTGTCGCAACGGATGGCGACAGCACCTCGTCTTCCTTCAGCTCTGATCATGCAGAAGATGATGAAGAACCTCGGCTGACAAAAGACAAAGTCGAGGAAGCCGCGGCATCCGCCTCAGCCTCGGCCAGACCAGCAGGCGAACCAGCCGGTGATTCCAAGGGCCCGAGAACGGTTGGTAGCTTTGTTGGATCCCCCTCTCGCAAGCCGCCGTCAGCTGACGGAGGCTCGCAGCGCAGCAGAGGGACCCAGAAGGCCGACGATGAGCGGGCAAACCGCCGTATGATGGAGAGCCTCGAGACCTTAGAAGTGGGCCATCTGAAAGTGAAGCCCATCTTTCCGGAGGTGATCCTGGGTCACCTCTTCATGCGGAAGTATGGCCTCAACCGCGAACAACGCGGCCAAGTGATCAGGTCCACGGGCGGCTCCTGCAAGTTCAAGGACATCGAGCGAGTGATCCGTGCCTCTGACTATGAAGACAAGATGCAGGAGCAAGGCGGCCGTGGCCAAAACCAAAGGCCGGGCCGAGCCGCCAACGTCCTGGCAGCCGAAGAAGACAGCAGCTTGAGTGAACTTAGCGGCTCTGATGAAATCCACGAGGCGGCTGAGGACAGCGGCGAGGAGGACGAGGACGACGAAGAGTTGGAGGAGGCCTACGAGATCCAGAAGAAGGCCAAAGACCAGGCGAAGAAGGCCTACCGCAGCTACAAGGACAGCAGACGGAAAGTCAGGGAGATAAAGAAGGACCGGCAACCCTACATGCCGGTGGTGGCTCTTCCTCCTCAACAAGGGCATCCGACAGTGCCGGAAGGAATGCCGGTGCAGCCGACATTCAAGTACGACCGGAAGCCCACCCGCAAGGGCTCAGGCCGACAGAAGGGCGGCCGCAAGGACCGCCGCGAGGACGTACACATGGTGTCGGCCGAGCACCTTTCCGAGTTCTGCTACATGGTCGCCACCGACGACGCGGCGGAGATGGAGTTCGAGATCTACGCCGTGACGGTCCCCGCCGGGCAAGCGGTGATCGACACGGGCTGTACGACTTCCGTGATCGGGGCTGAGACAGCCCAGCGCTACATCGAGTTCTTCCGCGACCGAGGCCTACCTGAGCCTACGCCGGTGGACCTTCCTCCGGTCCAGCTGAAGGGCTTCAACGGAGTCCGGACCTCTTCGGAAAAGGGGCTGCGGTGGCTGGTCAAGCTTGGCCAGTTGTGGGGCCAGGTCACGACGTACCTGGTGGATGGCCAGGCACCCTTCTTGCTTTCGCGCAGGGTGCTCCAGAACATGGAGGCCACGATCGACATGGGCAAGTGCACCCTGACGAGCCACAAGCACGGGATCTTCAATGAGCCGTTGTCCCAGGCAAGCAACGGCCACCTGCTCCTGCCCTTGGTTCCGCCGGACGAGTCTGAAGAGCTACTACAAGTGCAGGACCACAAGGACGGCCAGGCAAGGCCGGCAGCTCCTAAGGTAGAACCTAAGAGCCAACTGCCCCCTCCTGATAAACCTCACATCTCGACCCAAGACAAGCGTCGGCACTTTCAGACCATAATGAAGCACACTAGATACATGCACGCTGATGTAGGGAGTCATCGCTATCAGTTGCGCATGCTTTTCGGCAGAGATGTTGATTTTGCTCTGTGTGCGTACCGGCCCCGCCTTGAACGAATCCCTAAACAGGCGGCCTCTTACCACATGCAAGTGTCGATCGCCCACCTGGATCCCCAGGGAGTCTTGAGCATAAGTCCCTGGAAAGAACGCCCACCTGCAGCCAGGAGGGCGTCCCATGATCAGCCGGGCGCCTGCATCTTCGCCTACTGCTACAGCAAGCCTGCACCGGAGCAGGACCACCAACTTGCTGCACCGGATGTAGATAGGGTTTCTTCGGAGGTTGAAGGGGGTAGTCAGCAAGAGCCTGTGCATGCCAGTCGTTCCCCGTGCGGGGAGGAACCTCCCGATCTGACCCAAGCAACGTGCAATACCTCTGCCAGGTCAGAACCTGACGCACCGTTGTGTGACTGCTGCATGTCGCTGTGTCACGCCTCGGAACGCCCTGAGAAGGAACAGTTAGGGGAGACTTCTAGGTGCCAAGAACTTGAAGCAATGTATGAAGATGTAGATTGGGTTTCCCTAGAACACCTGCCCCTACCGACCCAGAGCAGAGCAAGGATTGCTAGACAGGTAGAAGCAGTGCGCCGTGTTCCTTTTCAGCTTGCGTTGGCAGCTCTGGAGGAGCAGCCGGATCAGGTTCGCGAGGAACTTGCTGGGTGGCTAGGTGAACAGGCAGGTAAGCTTAAGGAAAAGATAGGTCTTGTAGAAGTGTTCGCCGACTCTGCAGCCCTGTCTCACCAGTGTGAGCGTGCAAGAGGGCTGGCAAGCATCCGTCTAGGAGTCCCCTATGGCCAGGACTTTACCCGAGCTAAGGATCGTCGGTTGTTTCTCCTCCTGTTAGGATACACCCGACCCAAGGATGTTTGGTTTTCCTGGCCGTCAAGCTGTTGGTCCGGTTGGTCCCGATTTAACTTAGCAAAAGGGGGTTCTGCAGCGAGGACGGTGCTTGCCAGACGCAAGAAGGAACGGCCGTTCCTGCGTCTCTTCGAGCAATCCTGGGCACTTCAGACCATGCAAGGTGGACACATCCACGCCGAAAACCCAGTAGGTTCCCTAGTTTGGCAGGAGTTGACCCTAGGCCCAGCGTACGAGGTTGATTTCGACTTTTGTGCCTTTGGTTTCAAGGATAAAGCGTCTAATCTGCCCATCCGTAGGCCCACTCGGGTTGTCACTAGTGATCATCACCTTGCAAATGCACTGGACAGCCGAAAGTGCCCGGGACACCAGAGCCATGCTCACCTTGAGGGGTCCCGTCGGACCTCTCGCACTGAAGCCCTGCCTCGTCAGTTGTCGGTATGCATTGCTAAGGTGTTAGCTAGCCGGGATGAAGAAGTAGTGCCAAGCCACGATATCTTCATGCAAACCGATGACGAAGCTGATTCCGAGAGGGAGTCAGACGAAGAGGGCGATCGTGAGGAAAGGCCAGCCCTCCAGGAAGCCAATAAGCGTTCCTATGCAGCCATGATTCAGAAGCTTCATGTCAACACGGGCCACGCCTCGGTTCCTCAGATGCTCCGCCTTGCACAACGAGCGAAAGCGCCCGCCGGGCTGATTGCCGAGATCCGGAAGTTTAAGTGCCCGATTTGCGAAGAACTTCAGGTTCCCCCTTCCCATAGGGTTGCCGCCTTAAGCCACACTGAGACCCCAAACCACATAGTAGGTCTAGATGTAGTTCAGGTTGAGCTTAAGAGAGACGGACCGGCCGGAGTAGTGGAACAGAAGTACAATGTGCTGACAGCCGTAGATTACGCCACCGATTTTGCACAGCAGATCGTCCTACCTTCCGGCCCTGGCGTTGTCAGCCGGGCATTTCATGCCTTGTGGTGCCGTCCGTACGGCCCACCGAAGATCGTGTATGTGGATCCGGACCAGCGGTGGATGTCGGGAGAATTCCAGGGTTTCTTGAGAAATAATTCCATCACCTTGTTGGACAGCGCCACCGAATCACACTGGCAGCTGGGCCGGGTAGAGATTGCGCAGCGTGTGTTACGCAACATGGCACAGCGTGTCTGGAAGACTGCCGAGAGACCTGCCGAAGAAGTCATTGAAAGCTGTTGCGGTGTAAGAAACGAGCAGTTAAAGCGACATGGTTTTTCGAGCGCTCAATGGTTCTTAGGCCGGGAACCCCGTGTCCCAGGTAGTCTAGCAGACCTTACTGAACAACGAAATCTGGCAGCTCAGAGCGCCGTGTTGTCCGAGACAGACTTTGCACAGAAGATGCAGGTCCGCCACCAGGCCGCGGAGGCCTTTCTTGAAAGCCACGCCCACGATACGTGGGCACGGGCTATCCGCGGCCGCAACCGTCCCATCCGAGGCCCCTACACCGTAGGACAATCCGTGTACGTTTTTCGCAAACAGGGCAAAGGCCAATTTAGCACCCGACATGGAACTTGGCTTGGACCGGGACGAGTGGTAGGTACGGAAAGCTTCCGGGAAGACAGCCCTGTCCCTAGAGTGGTATGGGTTGTTATCAATGGGTTTATGTACAAGTGCTCCCCGGAGTGTCTCCGACCTGTGGCCGAGGATGAAGTTACGTTCCGTCAGCTTGCTCAGCAGTTCTCAGCCGGACACCTCCCGGAAGAAATGGAACAGGTTACCCCGTCCCGACGGGGCCCCGCCGGTAGATTTTTCGACATTACGTCTGAGATTCCTGCTCCAGAAGACTTCTTGTCCCCGACAGCCTCTGACGAAGAGGGCGGAGAACAGGCTGAGCCTAATCCTGAACAGTCCGATCGCAACGTCAGGCGCCGGATTACACATAATGATGATTACTGGATGGCGCGTGCAACTGGCACATCGCCCCGAGGCCTTCCCACAGTCCGGGAGAGGGAGGCCCCTGCAGATCTAGGAGATGATGTTGAGCACCCCGCAGATAAGGCACCCCGCTTAACTATTCCAGAGGATCACTTGTCTGACTATTCCCCCTCTGTTGCAGAGGCCCCAGAGCCAAGTTCCGGGAGTGCAATGCAGGATGTTGCTCCATCACCTTCCGAGGAGGTACCCCCCAATTCGTCTGATCCGGCACCGCTTTTGAACGATGCAGCCCTGTGCTGCGAGGTTGCCTTTGACGTTTTTGATCTTGATTTGGACCCCGAAGGACCTGGTCTTTGGGGTGCCCTAGAAGAGTGTGCCACAGTAGCTTCCAGGCCAGGACAAAAGCGCCGGGTAGAGGTTAGCTTCCGCAGGCTTAATCCAGGTGATCGTGAGAAGTTCAAGGGTGCTATGAAGAAGGAGTGGCAAAGCTGGCTGGAAAACAAGGTCACAACTGTAGTGAAGAATAAAGGCATCCCTAAATCCCGGATCATCGGTTCGCGGTGGGTCCTCACATGGAAGAAGTCTTCCGACCCTGACGACAGGTCCCTGTCCGCCAAGGCTAGGCTAGTTCTGGTAGGCTTCCAGGACCCAGACCTAGGCCGTATTGCCACCGATTCCCCGACCCTCCGTAAGGAAAGTAAGCACATAATCTTGAGTATCTGTGCCAGTATGGGCTGGGTCATCTGGGGAGCCGACATCAAGACGGCCTTCCTGTCCGGGGATGCATCCAATCGAGACCTCTTCTTTAAACCTCCTCCCGAAGTTAGCGAGTTCATGAACCTGGGACCGGAGGATGTGCTCCGTCTTGAAAAAGCGGCATACGGCCTTGCCGAAGCACCGCGTGCCTGGTTCCTCCGGCTCACGAGGGAGCTGCTGGCAGTCGGACTGGTCGTAAGTCAGCTAGACCCGTGTGTTTTCTGTCTCCGAGCGCAAAACACTCTGGAGCTGCTTGGGGTTTGTGGAGTGCATGTAGATGATCTGTTGGGAGGTGGCACTCAGGCCATGGACCGTTGCCTCGCGAAACTTAGGCTTAAGCTTCCTTTTGGGGATTTCCGCAAGAAAACCATCAAGTACACCGGAGCTGAAATCCGGCAGCTTCCCGATTTCTCCATTGAGGTGACTCAAGAGGCCTATGTGGATAAACTCGAGGAGGTAAGCACCAAGCCTTTTGGTAAGGGATCTGAGCCTTTGAATGAGCCATCTTTGATGCGTGCCTGCTGTGGCCAGCTGGCCTGGGTGGCCAATCACAGCCGTCCCGATCAGGCTTTTCTTGCTTCGTATCTTCAAGGAACCCAGGACAAGGCCCTAGTTTCGCACCTAGAGTTGTACAACAAGGCAGTCCGTGAAATGAAGACAAGAAAGGCTTGCCTTCGCTTTCCGCCTGTCCCCGTGGACCGTTGGCGTCTGCTCGTGGTGACAGACGCCGGCTGGGGAGTGCGAGCCAACGGTGAATCCCAGGGTGGTCTGTTGCTCTGCCTATGTGATCGAGATGTTCTAGAGCAAAAGCCCGGTAAGACCTGGATCATTGAGTGGGCATCTAAGAAGCTGCGTCGCGTAGTTAGGAGCTCTACCGCTGCAGAGACTCTGGCTGCACAGAATGGCTTAGATGCCGTTGAGTTTGCACAAGCTTTTCTCCAGGAGATCCTGTTCGGAATGAGCCCGCGCCAATTCCAACAGTGGGTTCCCGAACACCCTTCGGGTTTAGTCATAGATAGCAAATCCTTGTACGACGCCCTCACCCGATCAGCTTGCAGCAGTGCCCTAGCCATGGAAAAGAGATTAGCAATCGATTATGCTATTGCAAGGGCGTGCCTTCAGGAGCGCAACGTGCGCCCGTTCTGGACAAACAATCTCCAGATGATTTCCGATTGCTTGACCAAGCTCCGTGGAAACAAGGACATCTTGTTCCGTGTGCTGGACACGTGCAATTTTCATGTGAGACCCAGTAAGGAATCCGGCCGTAAAGAGTCAGCCCGACAAAAGGGGCCGACTAGTTAACGAGCAGTTGCGGAAGATAGTTTGCATGCATCTGCCGAACGGCAGTTACCAAAGGGGAGATATAAGCTAGAGTTTGGGTCTCTGTTTATCTTGAATTGACTTTTTGCCGAGCCGTCGTAAGCCACGAGCTCTTCCTCCGCCCTGCCTCTTTTCCCATGTTACTGTGAGTCTGTGCCTCAGGGAGTGCACCCGCGCACTGCCCTTGCCATGTGAGTGAGCCTGCAACAGAAGGTGAAGCGACACCACTGATGTAGTGCCTGCGTGTGTGTTGGCTCCAGCCCTCGACAATCGTGTGTGTTTGCCAGCATAAGTTCTTCGCCCCGGCGTTTGCAATCATGGCGGCTCCCGCTCTCAAGCAGCAAAGGTCCCGCATGGAACCAGTTGCGCAGGATGAGATGACCAACTTCGTTGGCCGGGTGATCGCTTGCTCACAGCTGGAGGTGCTGCTGGCCGAAGTCGAGATTCAGCGGCCTGATAAGGTGCATCGCCGCAAAAGCCCGGCCTCTGAGAGCGGCCTTTCCGAATACTCGTTGTTGAACTCACCTTCGGAGGTCGGAAGCCCAGGCCGAAACACCCGTGGACGAGCGGGACCGAGCGCTTCGAGTGCAGCGGCACCAAAAGGGCCACCAACACCGCAGCCCGTCAATGCACCTCGCAATGATGCTCCTCGAGGACCCCCAACACCGCAGCCTGTGAATGGACCTCGCCGTGATGCTCCTCGGGGTCCTCCACCACCAACAGGTGCCTATGCAGGGCGACAAGCGCCTGCCTCGCCGGCGACCTCCGATCTCTTCACCTCCGACGTCGAGTCCTTCAGCACGATCCAGGACCAGATGGCCATGGAGGATGACTACCAGTTGCCTCGCAATGCTTGCAAGCCACTCCCCAAGGGAGTGCCAGACCTTGCGACTTGGGGTCGCACCCTTCTGGTGCTGCCGAAGTATGCCTCCCTGCGCTGGTCCTACCGCAAGCTTCTCGAGAAGGCTTGGCACGACAAGGAGATCCTCAGCTACCTTCGCTGGATCAAGAGCACCTACTACCAGGATGCAGAGAAACCCGTGGCGGGTAAAGCATCGGACCTCGCGGCCTTCCTGATCGCCACCGATTACCCGATCATGGAGCGCATCGGCTGCGTGGGAGCCACCCGCACTCTGGTGGACGACTGATGCCCGGTTCCGGAAGCTCTGTAAGGTTTGATTTTCCTTTCTTGATGGATGCTGGCTTCTGTTGCTGTCACATAACTTTGATCACAAGGCAGCAGTCAAGCTGTCCCTTGAGGGCGTGTAAAACCGCTCAGTCGCAAGACATGTCAGCTTGAGCAGTTGTCAGTGGGAAGGAACATCTTTCCTTTGCCTTTCGGTCCAAGTGGGCCCTTGGAATCCTTATAGGAAGCACATGGCATCGGCGGGAGCACAAAGGAGTGCTTGTGATTGCCTTTGAGCAGTTCGGGAACATTCTGTTTTACAATTATAATATTATTCATGATGATATGTTTAAAACGCACATAATGGTGTCAGCTTCACTCTCAGTCTGAATGGACTGCCAGTCTAAGTTCGGACTGACCGGAAAGCCACTAAAAGAGCCGGCTGACATGCCTGCGATTCACTCTCCGACGAAAGGCCTCACACCCTGCAAACTGAATGAGCCCTTTTTTTTTTTGAACCCGGGCTTGCTGGCTGCCAGGACACCCCGCAACGCAACCAGCAACGCAAAGCTCGCAAGACTTTTCATCTGGGGGCAGAAGTCGTCAGGCTGGCGGCTCAAGAGGACTCTCATCCCTCACATGTCTGCGGTTTGGTGTGTCTGATCTGATCCCGTGCGTCTCAGGGGCAGTCCCACAGACCCCATAGCTCATCGACGGGGGCTACGGCTGCGGCCCCTGGCCCTGTGACCTTTTTCCTGCAGCAGAAGGATTGAAAGTGGAATGGTAATTGGGAAAACCGCAGCGGGCCTCCACGAAAACTTCCACCATCTCCTCCCTTTCACCTCCTTCCTGCAGCAGAAGGAAAAATAGTGGAATGGTAATTGGGAAAGAGGCAGCGGGCCTCCACGAAAACTTCCACCATCTCCTCCCTCTCACCTCCTTCCTGCAGCAGAAGGAAAGTGGAATGGTAATTGGGAAAGAGGCAGCGGGCCTCCACCAAAACTTCATCTCCTCTTGCTCCTCCTGGTGCTCCCGCTCCCACTGTTCCTCACAAGCATGGCTGTGAGCTGCGGCGACAACCCAAAACAAACTGAGGCCGCGGCCCGCATGTGCTGAATGGCGAATCGCTCCACCTGGATCCTGCTCAGATCGTACAGGAGGAGGGCCAGCGTCTCCGGCATAAGCTGGTCGATTTGACGCAAGCGCTCGCGTCTTTCCAGTCTCAGGAACTGGAAAATTAAAAGCTCCGGCATACCGTCCGCCATCAGCGCAAGAAAACCGCTGCTGCAAAATTTGGGCCGTATATATATATATATATATATATACGCTTTAAGACTAGATGACAAATGAGTCAGTACATGAAACAAGTCAAGTAGCAGGTAGAATAGGACCACCACCAGTCAGATCAGCATCACTGGCCATCATGAAGTCACAAGCTTTAGGGTCCTTAGGGTTAAGGTGTTTTCAGTTGGCGAAAGCAAACACTTGGCGTTGAGCCGTGGTTTAGGGCAGGTATTACTTTATAAGGGATTAGGTTTTTTTTCCTTGCACGACTCACAGAGCCCCGTGCGGGGATGTGAGAAATCCAGTCGTCTTGGTTCGGCAGATCTCAGATCTGAATCAGAATCAATCTGTCCAATGAATATTTAGTCCCTCAGTGGTAACACACTCAGTCACTTTGAAGGCAACGCTGGCAACATCCAGCTGGGATTCAGGCAAAGTCATCATCATTACTCAAACCAACAAGACCAGGCACCCGGATGTTAACGGGCACCCGGATGCAGGGAAAGTGCTTTCCTTCCTGATCGAGGAGGCGGAGTATATAGTATGGGTTGACGACGGCCTTCCTCTTCTTTGGGCGGTTAAAAGACGGGAAGTCGGTGCTATTTCTACGCTGCTACAGGCGCGGGCATCTCCTAACATGACGACGCCCGGCCACGCCGCCCCGCTTCTGCTCGCGGCCCGGCATGGGGGAATTGGATCGGTCGCTCTACTTCTCCTGGCTCGAGCAGATGTCAATCACGTCGATGCCGACGGCCTCTCCGCGCTGAGCATAGGGGCGGCGCTCCGCTCTCCCCCTTTGGTCTCGCTCCTGTTGGAGTTCCGCGGTCATCTGAGCACGCGGCCGGAGGTTCTTTTGCCGCTATTGAACAGCACGTTCCAGCGCGATGGCTGCGGCCACGACCATTGTGAAACGTCGGTTCTGCTGCTGCGCGCAGCCGGCGGCGTTGGGCATTCCGACGTGGTCCACAAGGTAATTTCGGAACTCGTTCCGCAACTCCTGGCCGAGGGCAATTGGTCCGCCATCTTCGTGGTTCACTGCTGGGCGCACCTGCAGTTAGGACTCCAATCGACGGTCGCCTCCGGCTGTTGCCCTGCTTCGGCTTCGGGGTCCTAGGTTACAGGGTGTTCCTGTTGCCAGAAGAGCATCGAGGCGCAGTCATTCTGAAAGAAATCCTACGACGAGAAATGAGATCGTGCATGTAGGTTGGAGGAAGAACTTCATTCCACGGCGCCGGCCCTTCTTTCTCGGTCTTTTCATCTCCCGGAGGTCCTTGCCCGATTGCGGGAGACGGACGTTGCCCGTTGCGACGGAGAGCTGATTGGACAGGCAGGGAACCGTTTTGCTTGCATTCGACAAGAACGATTTGCCAGCCTTCTCAGGGAAACACCGGTGTTTCGGCTTCTTGGCCAGGCCAAGCCGAGGTTACCTAGGAACCGAAAGGCAAGCCTTTCTGCCGTTCCGCCTGTCTCGAGCCAGGTTCGATCTTGTCGACGGGGATCGGTACTTTCCTTTCGTCTTGCGGAGCTGCTTTGGCAGGTTACTGAGGTACGAGCGACGCAGTTCGCGTCCTGCGCGCATGAATCCTTGTTTTGAAAGGCAGATGCACAGAAATCGGTCGGCTCGAAAGGGAATGGCATCCTGCGCTGTGTCCCGGGCCTTGGCTTCTAGTCACTTCAAGCTTTCCTGTCTTTGTTTTTTGCACTTAGGACACGACAAAGCCGAGGCGGGCTGCAGCGAAGGCCGATGTTGCACGCACACACACACACACACAAAGAAGCGCGTCGTTTCCGATTCGGATGTTTCCGCGATGTCAGGTCGAGTGCCGTCCCTCAACGGCAGAGACTACGATTTTAGAGAGGCAGGGATGCTCGTGACTCCTTGCTCTTGTGGCGGAGCACGCGAAGGCAGCAGGGCGAGACTTCTGCAGGGTCTCGGCTCTCTAGCCAGACCAAGCCGAAATTTGCACCTGACGTACATCTTCGGGTAGTCTTTGCGCGGCCAGTCGCCATGGCTTTGCACGGGACATCAAAAATACACGTTGCCGAGCATCCCAGCGACCTGCGCGTCGCTTTGCTGGAGGTTGGAGGAAGAAGTTCATCTCACGGCGCCGGCCCTTCTTTCTCGGTCTTTTCATCTCTCGGAGGTCCTTGCCCGATTGCGGGAGACGGACGTTGCCCGTTGCGACGGAGAGCTGATTGGACAGGCAGGGAAGCGTTTTGCTTGCATTCGACAAGAACGATGTGCCAGCCTTCTCAGGGAAACACCGGTGTCTCGGCTTCTTGGCCAGGCCAAGCCGAGGCTACCTAGGAACCGAAAGGCAAGTCTTTCTCCCATTCCGCCTGTCTCGAGCCAGGTTCGATCTTGTCGACGGGGATCGGTACTTTCCTTTCGTCTTGCGGAGCTGCTTTGGCAGGTTACTGAGGTACGAGCGACGCAGTTCGCTTTCTGCGCGCTTCAATCCTTGTTTTGTAAGGCAGATGCACAGAAATCGGTCGGCTCGAAAGGGAATGGCATCCTGCGCTGCGTCCCGGGCCTTGGCTTCTAGCCACTTCAAGCTTTCCTGTCTTTGTTTTTTGCACTTAGGACACGACAAAGCCGAGGCGGGCTGCAGCGAAGGCCGATGTTGCACGCACACACACACACACACACAAAGAAGCGCATCGTTTCCGATTCGGATGTTTCCGCGATGTCAGGTCGAGTGCCGTCCCTCAACGGCAGAGACTACGATTTTAGAGAGGCAGGGATGCTCGCGACTCGTTGCTCTTGTGGCGGAGCACGCGAAGGCAGCAGGGCGAGACTTCTGCAGGGTCTCGGCTCTCTAGCCAGACCAAGCCGAAATTTGCACTTCATGTACATCTTCGGGTAGTCGTAGCGCGGCCAGTCGCCATGGCTTTGCACGGGACATCAGAAATACACGTTGCCGAGCATCCCAGCGACCTGTGTGTCGCTTTGCTGGAGGGTCTGCCCAACTGGCTCGAGGCAGCTCCCATGCTGGTTTTGGGGAGAGACCCTGCCGGGATCGGTGTGCCGGAATTGAAGCGCGATCTAGGGCGCGCTTTCGGCATCGCTCCCGTATTTCTGCAGCTGCGGGAGACTCGACGCGATATCGGCGAAGGGGCGAATTGCCCGCTCTTTTGGCATGTGCGCTTCGTGCGGCCAGCGCTGCTTCCCTTCCAATGGGTCCTTACCGTCAACGTCTATCTCACGCGCGGGGACGAGATCGAGGCCTTGGCAGTGCTTATGCATGACGAGGTGCCGGACTTGGCAGACGACATCTGGGACCACACGTTCTCGACTATCCGACGTCAGCACTTTAAACTTATCATCATGCTGATCCTGCGAGGCCGCCTCGCCGTTGATCATCGGCTATCGGCGGAAGATGCTTCCTTCTGGCGCGCTCCGCTCCTCTCACTAACTGCGGCAGGGCCTCGATGCCATTTCGAAGCGCTTTTGGCACTGCGGGCAGATGTAAACAAACCCGACAGTCGTGGTCATACCCCGCTGGTTTATGCGGTCTTGGCAAACTCACACGCTCGCACTACGCTGCTCCTGCGGGCAGGTGCCATGGTCGCGCCGGACACGGGATACTGCCCGCTCCTGTTGTCCGTGGCCAAGAGGCAGCGTCAAATGGTGCATATCCTGCTACATGCGAGGGCGTGCCCCTATCGGCGCTCTTCAGCAGGCAGCCTTCGCGGACTTTCTCCGCACGGTCTGGCGTACCAATGGGATGACTCAGA